TCAGTGCTGGAGGTCTTCCTCATCTATTTTCAGGGGCTTATACAACCCTGCCAGGCTCCAGCTGGAGGAAGCAGGGTGCTGCTGCTCCCAGCAGGTACAGCAGGTGCTCAGGCAAGTCAGGGCAGTCCCTGAGGATGGAGACCCCCCCCAACTCAGGGCCCATTCCTAGGTATTCCCCTCTCACACTGGAAGGGGCTGTATCCTCATGTCCGGTGGGGATTTTCTCTTGTTGCAGTTATGCTCATTGGCTCTTGTTCTGTTGCTTTGAACTTGTAGGAAAAGCCTGGCTCTGTCACCTTCCCTTTAGGACATGGAAGATGCAGTTAGATCCTCACTTTTCAATTTCCCACTTAATTCCACATTTATTTAATCTCCTGCCTTTTCAATTCATCCATTTTCCTTTTCCACATACATGGTTTCAGACTTGCTATGAAGGGAAGACACTGTTGATCAGACTGACAGTGCAGCTGGACTTTGGTCTGAAGCACTTCAGCATCTCCTGTAAGGTCTTTGTGGACTAGACTTGTCTGAAGGGGACTGGTAGGACTTCATACTTGGACTTTGAGATGAGAAAACTGGGATTTTGTCATCCCTACTACTCTGCTCAGCCTTGCAGGCTGCTAAGAACGACTGCATGTAGAGTGGTGGTGGCCAAGATCCCGAAGAGAGTGGTCATATTAAATCTGGGACCCACATCAGACCCTGGCTATGTGCCTCTTCCCATCCCCACGAGCCAGCCGCTCCGCAGCCTGTGGGTCTGCACAGCCCTTGCCACTGCTGCTGGGCCAGGCAGGGATGTAGCAGCCCCTGCGACACCTTCCCTGTCACCGATGGGATGCTGGGCTGGATGGGGCGATACACCAAAGATCGCACCGTTCTTTCCTGTTTACATGGAAGCAAAATGGGTCTTGAAAGGAATGTGTTTATCCTCACATTCGTCATTATGTCTACTATCTGTCTGTGTCAGTCTGGTGTGACACAGCAGAGCATGAGAAATTAACAGCAAAAACAAGGAAAACGTAACGCAGAAGCAAAGGAAACCTGTAGTTATGGTATTGTATCTTCCCTATGACATGGGGAAGAGGAGAGTCTGAACCTCGGGCACAAACCACGGCCTCCAAACTGCTGTCACTGCATGAGGTGAGGGCTTTTCCCTCCCTGGCCGCAGCCTCACCAGGCATGAGAAGCTACTTTCCTCCCGGCGCGAGTCCCTGGAGGGGACGGGGCAGGCACTCAGCCCCTGCAGCTGATGTCACCCCGTCCAGCGTGGGGTGGATGGAGGAGGGAGAGCCAGGCCCGAGCTCACTGCTCGTAGGTCCCTCAGCGACTGCGGGTGCTGAGGACACTGCCAGTGCTGGCAGAGACGCTCCTTGCTCGCTGAGTAGGTATAAGCTACAGCCGGCTCTGCTGTCTTGTTCTAGCTCTGATCTACCCAGCATCTTATGCCTTCCACCGCATCAACTGATCAGATTAACTGCTGTGCAGCTGGGATGAGAGGGGGGCAGATCTGGGAGCAGATGAAAGCTTTTGTGCTGCTTCGTCACGCTCAGATCATTACCCCTCGCATTGTCAAGGGTTCCCAGGCTTGCCACACCTCCCGTGCTACTTCATCATCTCCTAGCGTGGCTTGCATCCTTGCCACAAGTAAAGGAAATTAACATCTCATGAGGAGCCCTGCCAGAAGTCCTCACTTCTCAGCTAGCTTGTTGCAGCCTGATCTAAATATGTTGGGAGGAAGATGACGGTTTTACTCCTGTGACAGCTGAACAGTCATTCATACCCGGTGCATCAAGGCTGAGATACCCTCATTGCTTTCAGGAAAAAATCTATTTTAAACTCCTCTCTTAGCCAGTATTTTTGCAGAAGAAAGAAAAGGGCTTGAGGCTAAACTTGATCCTTGCAGCCTGCATATTTCAGTACTGGAAGGCTGTGACTCAGTGGCCTCTGGAAGCTCTCCAAGCTATCAGTAGCTCAAAGGAGGAATTAAAAACTCAGTGAACTGCCTGTTCTCCTGAAACTTGTTTTGTACATGCTGTGGAAGAGATGAGATATTTGAAATAAGGTGGCCTGGTCCAAGAATCATTGGCTACAACGAGTCACAGCAAGCAATGAATATTTATTTTATTAAAATGCTTAGACATCTTTTAATGAGCCTTTTTGCCAAGGTCATGTGGAAGAATTTGCCAAAATGCCGTGTACACTGTAATAGGCTTCCCCACTTGGTCTTCTGTCCCTGGTAATCTCTATGTATATAAGCTAGAATACCTGTTTTCTCCCCCAAAATGGGAAGGAGAGACTGAATAGCATTTTTGACATTTTTCCAGAAAGTTAGAACAGCTGATGTGAACAGAGGTATGTCCTGTGCTAGCCTGTGAAACCAGGCTTTGGGGGTGGCAGGAGGAGTCTCAGGAAGGTGAATCTGAGGCTGGATGTTAGAGGCGGGCAATCAGTTCATCGGAGCTCAGGGAAGAAGATGGCCCCTTTGGCTGAGCCTCTGCTCCTAGACAAGAGTGGTCCTTGTTTCACTCTACAGTCTTAGTCCCCAGGTCTGCCTTGCCCTCATCCCATATCCATGTTGGATATTGGACCTGTCCATCCCCTTGGACTTTCAAGCCCAAGGCAGATGAGAGTAAAATCCGCACCTCAGATTAAAATAGGAAATAAACTCAAATTTCAGGAAATTACCCAGGAAAAGAGCTCAGGTACTTGCTGAAAACAGAGTTTGCGAGCCCAACCCGGGGAGGGAAGTGGGTGGTCTTCTGTTTTCAGGAGTGCCTTACTTGGAAAAGGAGAACTTTAAGAAAAGGCAGCACCATGGCTCAGTGCCTTTAGATATGACCTGTCGGGGTGCATTCTTGTTCACAGCCAGGAAACATCTTCCCACGCTTTTTGTCACATTTTACTCTTTCTCTGGAGCAGTGGTTTACTGAGCTGGCCCACCCAAGAAAGAGACTCAGTGAAGGGATCCTTCCAACTGAAGTGAAAGCCATTGTGTTCATGCTTGCTGTGGATTCTAGGACTTGGTACTGCTGCACCTCAGTAGTGTATTCTGAGGTGATCAGCCCAGGACAGAAAGCATAGCAGAAAAAGACATTTTGGTTGCCTTTGGAAAGCTGGAATTCTTTGTCTTCTCAAAGGGGGTTTCCAGCTGGAGGAGCTGGAGCTGGAGCTGATGATCTCCACTGACACAGCAGAGACAAAGATTTCTATCAAGCGTGGTACCTAACACTCAGAACTGATCTGAAGGTGTTTGGCTGCCTCTTTCTTTGTGGATTCCTTGGTCATAAAATGTTCATTTGCTGAAACTAAAATGTTTTTCTAGGAATGTGCTAATTCAAACAAAGGTTTAGCCAGAAAAGCCTTTCTGCTTCCAAAAGAGGGAAATTCTGATTAATGGAGCGAGAGGGAATCGTTTTAACAACCAGCTCAGTGAGTTTGAGCTCTCAGCTGAAATATGGCAAACCCCAGGTTGTGTCCTTGCTCCAGCAAATGCATCCTACTCATTCAAAGCAGAACAGCCGCAGCAGGAACGACTCACACAAGGATCTGCTGGGTCCTCTTCGTGCCTTGGCACAGGAAAATCGCAGAGCCTGAAAATCCCCTATGCTAGGCAGATTCTCTGGCTGCTGGTTGTTGGCTGTCCAGACCAAGTCTGTAAGTTGACAAGCCAGCATGCCAGCAGGGACAGAAGTGCCTTGCTGTAGAGAACCTGCAACCAGCCCCAGCCATAACAAAGCTTGGCCGTTTCCAGGTCTGCTGGCATGGATATCAGCACTTGGACTGCCTTCAGTTGGTTGATTTTTACGGGACAAACTCTTTTTTTGAATTTTGCTCACTTGCACGTATTTGCCCAAGGACAAAAGTTGTATTGAAGGGTCACACTTCCCAAAACATGCACGTAGACAACCGCACATCAGTATCCTGGAAGTTGTTAGATCAGCAAAACGCAAGTTGAGTTCACTTGTGCAGGCCAAAAGGCAGTGCTGATTTCTCAAGTTAGCCTGCCCTGGCTTCTGTTCCCCTTTTCCCCCTCCATAAATGTAAGGTATTGGCTTTATTCTAGCCTTTCAATGTAAATACTGTTGCATGGCTGTTATGCAACCAATATTGGAGTGGATGTTTGTCATAGTAATGCAACAAACACTTTTTTTGTCCTCTAACTTAATGATCATTTTAATCTCGTGATGATTTCATGTCCAAGTCTTTGCGTGCCTTCGGCTGCAAGCAGAGCACCAAGCCCCTGGGGATCGATCCCCGCAAGCAGCGGCAGAGCTGTATGATCATCAAGAATAATCTCCCATCTCAAAAAAGAGATGCATCACCCAATACCTTGGCCTTACTACATGGCTGGGTGAGCTTCAGCCTTTGGTAAAGTGTTCCCCCTTTACCGTTGCCAGTGATAACATGAGTCCCAGCTGCAAGTGTAGCCCTTTGGGAAGCCTCACCTCCACAACCACCACCCAAGCAAAACCTTGCAGGTGGATGACTGCAGCCGCATGCTTCCGAGTGCCCTGCGGTTGTAGGGACACTAATTGTTACTATTTGGCTGGAAAAATTCCCACAGAGTAGCTTTACATGTTTCTTCTTGTTGTTCTCTTCTGCCAGTTTGACACAATCTCCATGTGGTTGCTCTCCTTGTAGAGCCTGTCAAAATGTCTGGGAGGAAAAAGGGGAAGAGTTTGCTTCCAGTATACTCCGTGCTTCTTCCAGCTGCTACCTAGAGTATGTGGGAATGCCTTGAGGTTCCTCTAGTAAACGTATGTTATTGCAGTGGGAAAACCATCACAAATTTTGCAAAAAACCTGGATTTCTTCACTGTACTTCTTGTGAACAACTTGTGTTCGTTTTCCTTGTGGTTTTTTTCCAGCTGGAAGAACAGGGTGGTGCCACAGATTAATCTTTCTTAATTGACTCCTAGGCTGGAGGCACAATTGTCAGCATGTGGGGAAGGCAAGTGTCAATGAGTAATCTTTCAAAAGCATCTCTCTTCTTTATTTCAGAGTCTCCTGAAATTGGGCCCTCAGTTGTAGTTCACACAACTGTAACGTTTGGAAGCGAGCACCTGGATTCAGACCCTGCAGAGGTGCAGCAGCTAATTCTCAGTCACCTGGAGAGGATTGTGCCATCCCTACCTACACCAGCCAGCATCAAGTGTCAGAAATGGAGATACTCTCAGGTACCCTGTGGTGGGATCAGTCAGCTGGGAGGATGCTGCTGGGGCAACGCCGTAGTACAGACTTGCTGTGTGTCACAAGAAACAGGACATCATGTGAGCCAGTGGTTTTCATCCTCGCGGAGCAAGAGGAAAAGGGATAGTTGCTCGATATCCATAATACATTCCTCCACGTAGCCATGAGCAGCATCCAAGGCTGACCAGCAACAGCCAGATCATTTCTAGTCATCTTTGTACATGGTGGACCTGGCTCAGTGGTAAGTTATGCAACACTCCTCGTAATGAGGGACGAGAGCAGTGCACAGGAAGGAAGTAAATCCCACATACTTTGGTGGGATTTTCACTGGTATTTAAAAATATGACTCAATCTGCCTCTTCTGTATCCAAAAGTATGTGATATTATTAGCAAGATTCCCACCCTATCACAGAGTAGCAGCAGTCCTTGCATTCAGGCACACTAATTGTTATTATTTGATTTGGCCCAGTTCAATTTAACAGTTTGTTATGCGAAAAATATTTTAAAGTAAACTGTCTAAGGGCAGTAATAGCAGAATGTGTATATTTTACAGACTTTCCTTAAAAAATCCAAGGAAATTGTTGGCAATTTCCTAAAGTATTGGAGTGTATCTGCATGTTTACCTAAAGCCTCTTAAGTTAAATTGCATTGGGGAAATTGAATGTGGAAGTTGATGCAAAATATTTACTTAAAGCAGTCCCCTAAAATTTTTTCCTTTTTATGAAATCTGGAAAAGTTACTGTAGGTGACTGTTGTGAAGTCTGCTCATATCCCTTGATCTGCATCCAATTTAGGAACCTGGTCTCATTAGCACAAAACTTACTTTTCTGCGAGTTAGGTATTGGTAGTTTGCAAATAGCTTCCCAGTGCATAGTATTTGTTCTCAGTTGTCATATAAAAACAACCTTAACATAGGTTTTAGTAGCTGGGACAGTGACAGTAGGACTGAATTCTTGTTTTTCATAATTGCTTCAAAATTGTTGGCTTCCTAAATCACTAGGTGTGTGTCCTGTTTCTCCTATTTAAAAATTACATTCAGACATCATACTGCTGGATGATGCTCTATTCTTCTCTCAAACCACTGTACAATTTACAGCTCTTCCCGCTTTCTTCTCCTGCCTCCGTTGCCTGCTATCGACCGTGTTGCTACTAACCAAACCCACCTATTTCAGCAGCTGCTTGTGCTTTACGGCTGTGTCTCGGGGAATTATCACCAGTCTTTAATTCGGTGGATGAATGTAAACATGTCTTAGATTCCAAATAAGTCAGTGTAGGTCAGATCTGTTATCTCAATGAAGAGATCTCCATTGCCACCCTATAAAATAATCGCTACCTAAAATTAAATATCTGGGGCAGAGCTCCCTCTTTCTCTTAAAGCTATCTTTACTTTCAGTTATAATAAGATGTTGCCACAGAAGCAAAGGGAGCTGATAAGATGGGTCCATCTTTCCCCTGACTGTTTTAGACAGGATTTATCCTACTTGTTAATTAAATCCGGCTGTAATGTCCTTCACATGGCCAAACACAATCCTGGGATTAAAATGCAGACATTACAATTATCCGTGGCGGATGAGGGATTAGGACTTCCAAACTTCTACTGACACTACTTAGCAGCACAGCTGCAATTCTGGATCCCCTGCTTCAATTACAGTAAAACACTATTAGCATTCAGAGCCAATGGCTTCCCAACCCATCGTGTCCCTTTGACAGAGCCACTTTATATGTATCAGGGATACTGGAAAAACACAGAATCACAGAAATTCATAGAATCACATGAATTTTGGGTTAAGTTGGAAGGGACCTTAAAGATCATCCAGTTCCAACCCCCCTGCCATGGGCAGGGACACCTTCCACTAGACCAGGTTGCTGAAATTGGACGTCTTCAGAGCCGACCTCAGAAGGGACCTCTTCAGGTCTCTAGTCCAACCTGTTGCTCACAGCAGAACTATCGCCAGCACTAGGTGGTCTCAGCCATGGCTTTGTTTAGCTGAGTCTTGAACTCTTCGAGGATGGAGATTCGGCAGGCTGTGCCATATAGCTGAGGGTAATTTGGAATTTATGTTGCACAGCACCTTCAGAAGAACTCGAAGAAGAGGCAGGATCATTCCTTTCCCCAGTCACTGTGTCTAGAGTGAGGGCCTTTACTACACTGAGCACACAATCTTTCCCCACAGGCGAAAAGATGCAGGCAGAGATGTGAACATACTGATGATGTGTGACCGGTGTGGCAAACCAGAAGCTGTTTGGTACAGCCAGCATCACATGAGCACTGGGCACTCAAGAAGGAAGGATACTCTAAAAGCCTTTTCCTGCTAAACCTTTCTTCACCGTTTATACTCAGTGACCTCAGTCTGTAAGAAAACTTTGGAATAAATGAAGTACTGACCTGAAATTGGTCTGAGGAAGATGGTCTGTGGCTTGATTTACCATACGTGGCTAGCCTCTTCTGTCAAGTTGGAAAATAGAGAACATTGCAACCGGCGACAAATTCATTTAATTATCTCCCTTAAAGAGATGCCAACGTGCCAGCAACACAGAATGCAGCCAGTAACATAAATGTGGCTGTTTTGCAGCCAATCTGTACTTGGAAATGGCAGATAACAGCCACTGTTCTGCCATTGGTCTGAACTTTAGCCTTGGACTTCAGGTCTTCTTCACCCAAGCTCTCAGTCACACGGTGGGACACAGTAACGGTTTACTGCACAGGAATCCAGAATTTATCTTTGGACCAAAAGATATGTTTGAATCCAAAGTGTATCTTTGGAACAAAGGCAGAAAGTCAAGAAATGATCAAAAGAAAATTGTACTCTCTGTATCTCACTTTGTGATCTCTATGATTTGATCTCTGCTGCTGGTCTACTGCTGGGCTTCTGGTTTTTTTTTCCCCTCTCTGGATTTCTAGCTATTTTTTCCTCTTTTTTCAGCATTTCATCCTTATGGATCTTGTTTTGCCCTTCCTTTTCTCAGACTATTGCTTCCACCTTCGTCCTTGATCACTTCATCATCAAGCAATCCTGCATCTTCTTACCTTTCGTATCCCTTCTTCCTGTGCCTGCCTTGCCCTCATGTTTACCGTTAGGTCAGTGCTGCTTATCTTCATTCCGAGATTCACCAGTGCTGCTCTGGGATGCACTGATTTAGCACAACATGGACACTCAGCCTGTGTACATAGGTTTGAAACAGGCTACAACAACGTGTGGCCCAGCCAAGTGTAGTAAAAACACAAATGCTGTCTGTTTTTATTCTGCTGTTTGACATGCATTGGTGTTTGTCACAAAGGACAACACCGAAAAGAGGTCTTGTTCTCCCCATGTAGCGTCAGGCTAATAGGTACTGCCAAGTCCGTTCACTTCTAGCAGTGTTACACAGAACTGCTCAAGAGCTGCCACTCTTCAGAAAGAAATTTAATGGAGGGTATAGTACCTGGAAAATTAGATTTAAAATGAACAATGCATACACTGAGCATTACATTAAATATTTATCAAAGCAACCTTATTCAGAACTTGTCCCATGCTACTTCGAGAGAAACGGTTGACTGCATCTCTAGCAGTGTCTAAAAATTCTTGTGCTACTCAGATGAGTAAGGAGACCAGCGTAGCAGAGCTGGAGACAGGGTGGGTTGTCCCAAGGCTGCGTGTACGCTTGCACAGCAGCACGAAGCACGGGCATTGTGCCAGTTGTTACTCTGAAGTCCACCTCGCTTCCCATCCAGGAAGGTCTCGCGTTTAACCCAATCGTGTTCCAGGCTCTCTTAGAAATGGCAGACTCCCTTTCCTTTGTTGAACATACCTGGGTTTTTTTGCAAGCTGACCTTTGCTGATGTGAGATCATGTATCTTCATACCTTTTGGCTTAGAGATCTCCATGGCACACCTGTCCAGGGCCAGGCAGTTCATTTCTGCTGAGACAGACTGGGAGTAAGAGAGGACGGGGCTGTAGAGTTTCTGAATTTCCACATACAGGAAAGCTTTATTCTAATTATTTAAGTCCAGAAGATAAATATTTTACTCTGGTGCTTTAATTGTTAATGCTTGGACCTATAATCTGGGGTGGGAGGGCTGCTTCGTATGAAGGCGGGTTTCTCGGGAAACACCACCTTCCTGGTGTGAAATTCAGGTAATTAACATGCTGTCTTTTCCATCTCCCTGTATGCGTTTCTTTTCAGGTTACAAAAGCTGTGCCCAATTGTCTGGGACAAATGATTCTTCATACTCAACCTCTCCTGATTTGTGGGGGCGACGGATTTACTCATTCCAACTTTGATGGCTGCATAGATTCTGCTATGAGTCTTGCAGAGGCGGTGAGGTCTCATTTATAGCAATTTCAAAGTCGGCTGCGGAACTCTGTCTAACTTTATGATGAATTTTACTATGATGGGTTGAATTCTAGTTTAGTGTTAACATCACTGGCCTCTATCTTGCAAAAAATAAATAAAGGAAGATCTATTGGTGTGCTGTAATAATTACTGGGATGGAATTGCATTGAATTTTCCAGGATCTGTGCTGTGAGTGGTTACTTTGCTTGAATTAAAGCTTTTTCTGGCTGTAGTCCGAGGCACTGAGTTCCCTCCAGCAGTCTTGCCAGGTCTCCCGATACTTTCACAGCCCATGAAAATTATGTCAAGCAGCGGAACCTCACCCATGGAGCAGCAGAGTTTACTCCTTCTCTGAGCATTTGGAGCCCTGGAAGTGACAGAAGGAACACGCACAACTGCTGCTAGAGCTTTCATGCATACACGTGGTCATTTCCCCTGGCCCACATCAGCCCTGGTCATGGTTATTGTGGTGGCCATGGGGAATCAATGATGGGGCACACCTTGCTCTGCTTCGCGATTCGGACAGCCCATGCAAGGTCTAATCGTATCGACGCGAGGTCTGACCACGTCTCCAGGCACGGATAACTTCTAAGTGAGTTGTCTGCCAAGCAGCTTTCCTAGCCCACAGTTTTCTGGAGCCCTGGTTGCAGATTGCTGGAAGAGCTTATTTAAGAGCTTGGTGATGTTCCTGGCAATGAGGTGCCACTGAAACATGGTACCTGTCCTGGGTGCAGTCTAAGCAGCCTCAGCTCAGCTGTGCTCATCAAAGAAAGAATGGAGAGAAGGTGAAAGAGAAGGTGTGCGTGTTCCTAGTGCTTTCATATCAATAGAGCTGCTACCCCAGAGTCATCTTGGGAATAGACACTGACATCTGGGCTGTCACATGAGCTTAACACAGTGAAGTGGAGTGGCCAGGAAAGTGGCTGCACTTAAAATAGTTCAGTGTTTGCCAGGTTAGAGAGTCACTGGTGCATCATGGCTCTCTGCTGGTCCAGGCTCCCCTGAACAAGGAGCAGTCCTTCTCCTTCCAGGTGGGGGAGGAATTGAGGCAGGAGCAGCCAATATAGAAGGTAGTTTAGCTGCTTTGCCTGGCGAACGCCAAGAGGAAGGGGGAAAAAGAATTTATCTGAGTGTGGTCCGTGACAGTGTATTAGTAAGAAAACTGTGCTGACATTTCAGGCTTAGGGTTACGTCACCACCACCATGACAGCTCATTTAAAGTAAACAGCCAGTCTGAAAGTGAGGTGAGTTCTAGACAGCTCTCTACTTCATTTTGGCAGAACAGGTGTAGAAATAGAGGGACAGGTCCAGGGGAGGATATAAATGCAAGTGTGAGTGAATGAACAAGAAATTTGATTTGAAATACTAAAAAAATAAACAGCAAGTGTAATTGTATTGAAAATACTACCTGTTACAGTTTCAAGTATTTCTAAGCTACTAAACTGTGTTTCTGTGAAGCCAATTCTGAAATTACTCAGAAATTAACCAAAAAAATATTTATTCTAAATTTGATTTTAGCTTGCCCGTCTTCCTAAGTCACGTGTCACAAGTTTAGTACCCACTGCACCACTAAAAATAACAAAGTGCTATTTTCAGCAGACAGAACTTTAACCATTAGAGAAGTACAATTCAGCCTCTTACACTCCGGCATTTCACAAAAATACGGAATCCTGTATTCACAGCAGCCGAGCACTGTAATTTACTGCTGCATTTGACTCTTTCTAATGAGTGACACTAAGAAATGTAAAGCCTAAGTTAATTTTAAAAACACCTTTGAAGCATATTTCATGATACCATGCTGCTTTATTGATTTTCTTCTTCTTTCCTTGAAATCTTCGAGTTTAAAACTAGGTGTTGTTTTTGCATCTGAACCAGCCAGCTCCAAGCCCTCAGGTTTCAACCACTGTGTGTTTTGCTGAAACGGGAAGGATAGCGGTCATGTCCGTGCGCAGATCTTTTACAAAGGCATGCTACCTCCTGTCTTCCATGGAGCAAGGTCGCCATGAAAGCCACGTGGTTGTGGAATAAATATAATCTGATGAGGCATTTAGTACTGGCTTGATGTAGCGTGAGCTCAAAAGCAACAAGTTCCATGAAATAAGGTTTTATGTTGCAGCGTTGGAAAACCTTGATCAAAGAGTCGTACTCTATGGAGGATGACATCCGAAAGCAACCAAGCCCCATTTTTCACATGTGCTCCTTGGTTTCCATCCAGGCCTGGCCAGCCTCCAGGAGTTGATGAGGCATTTAGTACTGGCTTGATGTAGCGTGAGCTCAAAAGCAACAAGTTCCATGAAATAAGGTTTTATGTTGCAGCGTTGGAAAACCTTGATCAAAGAGTCGTACTCTATGGAGGATGACATCCGAAAGCAACCAAGCCCCATTTTTCACATGTGCTCCTTGGTTTCCATCCAGGCCTGGCCAGCCTCCAGGAGTTGGTCCCCAAGTCTGAACCGTACAAGAGGGTTTTATGCTGGGTTATTGGTTCCCCTGGAAAACGTCTGCGTGGCAGGGAAGCCAACCATTGTTGCACCCGTGGTGACGGTTTCTGGGAACCCATTCCAGCAGTCAGCCTTCATCGGAGCTCTGCCTCAGTGCATAGGGAAGGACGTGGGTCCTTTTCCCACAGGGGTGAAGGAGTAGGCTCTACCTTTATGGCATCTTTCCAGACTCTTTGCTTGTGCTGTTTTCCTCATCTTCACTCTTTGTTTTCTGCTCCTTTCTTCAAAGATGGATTTTGCTTTAAAACACGCTAAAATTTGCACTTCCTTCCCCTTCCTTCAATTTCAAATGGAAGCAAGCCAAGCCACTAAAAATCTGAACACAGATCTAATCTGAAGTCCTGTGACATGAAGAAAACTGAAAATGAGACATCTTTGACTTAACACTGTGTCGTTCCGCTTGCCACCTGCCGCAGGTGTGCTCCAGAGGGTCATGATGCTCTCACAGGGGCCTGATACCAGCACCAGCCTCCAATACCACAAGTGACAGGTAAGCGGAGGAGGCTCTGACCCCATCTTTTCAGCAATCTTATAGCTTTGGTCGTTATGAGACCTCAAAATCCCTGATAATAGGCAAATAGTGAGATTTTTGATTCATAGGTTTTCCAGCATGAATCACAGTGAGTCTCAAATTGCTCCCATCCTTCCCCATATCATGAGTCTACAAAACGCCTCTTTCCAATAGCTTCCTCTCAGACTGGGAGGTTAAACAAAAGAGGTTAAACAAAACCGACTTGTTTTTTTAAGGTGGAGTAGAAGAGTTCATGGACACGTTCCTCTGGACATGCTTCAGACAGTGGGCACTTAGGGGTCTCTGTGGCAGTCTCTCATTTTCTAGATGTGAGCAGGAAGACAACGGTACTAACTTTCCCACGCAAGGCGGGTAACGACTGGTGATATTTCAAAGAGGCTACTGTATCCGAAAGGATGGCAACAGAAGAGACTTGTCTGGTTGATTGCCTGGGATTTTCCCCGGATGGATGTAGTTTTTGATTAAGTGGCAGATCCATCGATTTACACTCCGCATCTCCATGTTCCTGGACAGGGGTGGCGGCTGCACCTGATCTCCTGTATGTCACGAGCCACAGCTAACACCCAACCTTGAATTAAAGTGTTTCAGTTCTCAGATGACGATGTTATTGTCTTCCTCATCACAAGGAAAGATGGGGCCATAAATGCTCAAGGCCTTTTCACTCACGGTTGTGTTAACTTCCACCCAGTGAACATCACTTTTCAGGGCTGGCTAACGGCATCTACTGCAGTCATTGCTTTTGCAATATATTCAGCTGCATGAGAAGCATTTTGCTGGTCTCTGAGCCTTTAACTGTACCTTTAGGTCTCTAACAGCAGTCCTTTCTCGTTTGTTACTGTTCCACCAACAGCTGGCATCTGCTGTGTGCTTCACCTTTGTATTATTGGCCAAATAACAGAGTAGGTGTTGGCAGGAAGGCTTGGTAGACACAACTACACCCTGGCATCTCCTACTAACAGAAGCGTTGTGAGACCTGTGGCTCAGCCAGGTGTGATCCACCCAACATTTGCCTCGTTAGCACCACGCAAGATAATTTTTGCACCGCAACTTTCACATGGTCCTCCGTCAAATGTGTTTCAGAAAGCCGGGCATGTAGTACTGAACCCGGAGACCCCATACTCCCCCATGCCTTCCCCTCACAGACCACCCTTTGTGATCTAAACTGCCCTTTCTACCTTCTAGGAGGTGTCTGAACTGGTGCCATTGCCACCATGTCACGGGTACTAAGGTTCACCCATCATATCCCATGCCGTGATGCATTTTGGAGGCCATGGTGAAGATGGGCTTGAGACAGCCACTCCTCTTGAGGGGCATCTCTCTGGCATGGGGTTAGGGCCCTTTGGGCAGGGATCTGACCTTTCTGGCTCTCTACCCACTCCTGGCACCTGACCCTGCTTGCAGATCCCCTGAGATGGAGTAAAAATGCTGTGAGGTGGATAAAAGCCTTTTAGAAACCAAGTGTCATAGGAGGCCACAGGGCTCTGCTGGGAGCCCATCAGAGCCATAAAGCCTGACTCCAGAAATGCTATTAATGATGTGCTTAAAGAGCTCTCATTAACAGGAGTTTTGCATCTGCAGCCCCAACAAGAGCAGATCTGCTTGTCTTGTGTCCCAGGGGCTTGGGAGGCCTCTCCCTTCCCAAGGCAAGGAAGGTGTTGGGAGCAGATGCTCATCACATGAGTTGCGGTGCCTTGGGGAGCTAAACTAGCTCTAGGTGAGCTCCAGGGTGACCGTATACGGTAGCCCAAGCCCACACTCACCTTCCCAGCTTAAGGCCAGGACTCTGCTGTGTCCAGCAGACATGTCCCCGTGCCATGCTTGCTGTCAGGGGCAACCCCTGCCCAATCGCTCCATCCACACCAGGGCTGCATCTGCCCCTGTGCCAGCCTGCAGGGAGGATGTCTTGTTGTGACCCTGCCTGTTGTGGCTGTTGGTTGCAATAACTCTCCCAGATCTACAAAATCATCTGCACACCTCTTGGTGCATTTTGTGCAGTTTGTAGGAATTTAGTCCATTTCTAAAAACAGCTAGGAAGAAGAGACAGGCACCCAGCTCCTCAGCTCGCATCGATTCACAAACCATATGTCTCCAAGGATCTGGGCTGTATT